ATCACCCCAAAAGTTTCCTCCTGATGTTGATGTTTTGGTATGTATTGCTTTGTTTCAAGGTTTTATTATCTAAAGAGATAAGGTAGGGGATGGATGAAACAGGATTCATCATGAATTGATCATTGTTGAAGCTGGGTGATGGGTACATGGGATTCATTGTTTAACACTTCTGTGAGCAGATACTTTTTGCCAGCCAGCTTTGGGAAAGCTTCATGAGATAATTCTTAAGTACCCGCTCCCATTTCAATTAAATGAGTAGTGAATGGAAAGCAGTGGCAGTTGCTTAAGTTTTTTTGCAATTAGCATTTTCAAAGAATCCAGGCATTAGGACCTTTGCTAAGAAGCAATTTAAAGGTGAGGGTGGTGGACAACATTTTAAGTTTGAAATGTGAACTCCAAGATAAGTTTTTTATCCTCCCTCCACGTGTCAGCTCTTGCTTCCCAATTCAGAGTCACTGGAGTGGAGGGAAATACATCTGTCAGTTCTGGAGGAAGAATGGGCTTAGAAGAGGAGAGCTCTTAACTCACTCTCTCCAAAACGCAGACTTGATAAAGCTGAGAAGGAACACTCTACCTTACATTTGTATGAGACTTTAGGATTTACTAAACACTCTTTTGGTGTGTGTGTGACGAAGATTAGCCCTGAGCTAACATCCATTGCCAATCCTCTTTTTGCCAAGGAAGATTGGCCCTGGGCTAACATCCATGCCCATCTTCCTCTACTCTATATGGCACAGCGCCACAGCACGGCTTGACAAGTGGTGAATCTGTCCGCACCTTGGATCCGAACTTGCCAATGCCAGGCCGCCGAAGCGGGGCGTGTGCACTTAACTGCTTCGTCACTGGGCCCGCCCCACTAAATACTCGTATGTACGTCATCTGGTTAAATTCTTAAGAAGATCCTAGGGTAGTTATGCATTTCTCCATTTTTAGCTGAAGAAATAAAGACTTGGAGGAGTTAATTTATCCAAGTTACACAATTTATCCAAGTCACACAAGCCAGTTAGTGCTGGAGCTAGTACTTAAACCCAGGTCTTCTGAGTCCTATATCTGGTTGGTACCATGCCTATCATAGAAAAACCGGAAGAAAGTGGAGATAAAATACTTTATGGAGGAAGCTAAAATCCTGGACACCAAGAAGGTTCCTTGGGCAGTCCACTCAGGATTTCATCTCCCAGTTGTGGACTGGGGCTAGGAAGGAGGTGAGGGTCAATGATTTAAAACAGACTTTTCAAACATTTTACATTCAAAGTGTACAGTTTGTACTCCATGCAACAACAACAAAATTCTGGCAATACAACCTTTTGTGTTAAAATAATAAATCTCTCCTTTTTGATTAAAGAAAAACATCAAAAAATATGGCTTCTACTGCCCTTTCAAAATGTGAGTCCTAGGTCAAAGGCTTCTCTTCCTGTACAAAAAAGCATCTATCCACAACCCAGAGATAGTCACTTAAATGAACATTTTGCTGTACATACCTTTATATACGTGTGTGTACATGCACAAGTATATTTATATTTATGTATATGTGAGTGTACGTAAGTGTACAGACATTAAAAAATGGAATCTTATTTTGAATACTGTTTTACATCCTGCTTCTTTCACTTACTAGCAAAGTATGGCCTTCTTTTAATACAAAATATCCAATTAGAGATCTGTGGTGTTCTGCTTTGAGGCCTTTCAAAAGTTACTTTTACCCTTAAACTAGGAACAAAGTTTTCAAACGTACAAATGGGTAGACACAGTGAAAGGTAAGTCTTCCCCCACTCCCCTGCACAACCATTCCTGGCAGCCTTGCTGTTAACCTCTGACTGGGGATTCTGACTCATCCACTCTTATGAAACATCATCCTACATCTCCTGCCCAGCTAGACCTTGTCTCTGCTCATTTCTTGAGACCTGCCATTCACCCTGACTCTAAACACTGCCTAATTAATTATGCATTGCACTAGTTGTCTTAGCTCTCCTAAGCCTTGAATTCATCGCATAGAGCAAAACGTGAGCCTTTAAATCATCTTGGTTACTATAAATCTCAGAATCAAGCTTTTTCTACACTTGAAAGCAATTCCTATTGCTCAACACGAAAATGGCCTGGTCCTTTTGAAAACAGACCAGTTATCTGCAGAGAGCAACAAGTTGTAAGTAGCATCGTAAAGACTATTGGTTTTAAGTAAACCACTCGGGTTCAGAAGCATCAGTTTAAACATTTTATTTTTTTATTGTGAGGAAGATCGGCCCTGAGCTAACATCCATGCTAATCCTCCTCTTTTTGCTGAGGAAGACCAGCTCTGAGCTAACATCTATTGCCAATCCTCCTCCGTTTTTTCTCCCCAAAGCCCCAGTAGATAGTCGTATGTCATAGTTGCACATCCTTCTAGTTGCTGTATGTGGGACGCGGCCTCAGCATGGCCAGAGAAGCGGTGCGTCGGTGCCCGCCTGGGATCCGAACCCGGGCCGCCAGTAGCAGAGCGTGTGCACTTAACCGCTAAGCCATGGGGCCGGCCCCAGAAGCATCAGTTTAATGGCCTGACTTTGAGCCCAGCCTCCAGCCTCCGGGTCCTCCTGGTCTAGGCAACACCTCTCCCAAGAGTCTCAAGCTTACTTCTCAAAGGCAGGGGTCACAGAGGGGGGTTCTCACAAGGTCTCTGTTCAGTCTACCATTCCCTGTTTTTTTCCTGCACCTTCCCCATGAAACAGCAGACTCTAAAATAATTACTAATACTCTGACTGACTGACCACGCCCTCCCTAGGGGTTCTCCTTTCTGTAATCCCCTCCATTTTAGTGCTACCATGAGGACTTCTCAGGTGGGCAGCAGGGGTTAACTGCAGCCCACATTCCCATCAGTCCTTGCTATAGGCAATGTTACACTGCATGATAATTCCTTGCCCCAGGTGCATCCCCACCCCCGCCCCCATAATTGAGCTAAGCTGTAGGCAATGGAGCACTCAAGCTCAGCCCAGCTATCAGTCAACAAACTTCCAGTTAGTTCTCTCCATACCCACAAGTAATAACAGTAATAACTGAGGCAAGAAAGCACAGCCACACCCTGCAAGGAAAATATTGTCTCCATTTGGTCTACTCATCGATGAGATCAGTCACTCTACTCTGTACATAGAAGATGGGCAGGCTGCTGCCAAGGTCCACTTGGTTCTTAGCTCATCTTCCCTATGACTTTGCTCATGGATTCCACTACCAGCAACCCAACCTCCAACTCTCCCATATGTTTCTTCCATCATTACATCAAAGCTTCAGGGAAATAGAAAGAAGCTTGTCTTCCTAAAATGTGTGAGGACCACTGTCTTAAAGATGGCTGTGAGGAAAGAACTGTGTTTCATTCTTTTTTGCCTCCTTGGACTGGAGGGGGTTGCCATGAATGGCAAAATTTCTGACCAGGTAGAATATCAAGCAGGTTCTCTTTAAGCACCAACTACACTGGTTCAAGAGATTGTAAATGGGCTGGCACAGTGCATGCTCCACTAATGGCCAGTCAATAGCTTACACCTATTAAAACATAAAAGACATTCCTATTATCAAGCATTCAATTAGGCATCTTAAAAAATGGTAGCCCTACTTGGTCTATGTGATATGCTCTAAGTAGTATCTACCTTAGAAAAGTTTTCTATTTTTTGTAACTTGAAGGATTAAACATGTTCTCTTTCTTGATGTCTTTAATTCATGAAGTTGTTTTGTGAACTTAGTGAATCTGACAATGAAATAAAACAATAATGAAATACTGGGAGATAGCTGTTTCCCTTATGCATTTTAGCATTCTAGAGGCAGAATAAATATTCAGCAAATGATTAGTTGGTATATCCCACGTGCATCCTTTACATATCCATGCCAGCTACCCTTTCACAGTTTTACTTGGTAATTTACAAATGAACTGGCTGCACTTTGCACCTGCCACTACTGCAGTAATTAGCTTAGGACGCAAAATGATTTCTAAATTGAGCTTCTGGACTTGTAAAAATCAAGAAAGCCTGATAATCAACTTTGTAACTGTGGTAGCCAACGAGTAATGGGATAAATAACTAGGACAAGTCCTTTAACCACCCTACGTCCAAATTAGATGTCCATACAAGACGCAGGTGAAATATAGGCCAACAATTAGAGGCAGGTGAAAGGGTCAGTGTGCAATGATTTAAAATCGTTCCCTTTCTCCCGCCATATGGAAAGAGCGTGAAGGTCTAGGGGTTGTGCATTTTAGGGCGCACACAATTGGAGTGACATTTTAGCCAGGTGAAACCTCAAGTTGATACAGGCTGGTAAAACTTGGACATCGTGTCCTGGAGGATTGGGAAGGGGGAGAAGGGAGAGTGAGCGTCCGAGCGGGTCGGACCGAGCGGCGTGGGCTGCGCGGTACCCCGTCCTGGGACTCGGGGCTCCCCTCGGCCACGCAGACCTCCGACCCCGGAGACGAGCCAAGAGGAGCGAGGAGAAGGATGATCTGGAGAGAGCGAGCGGGAGTGGGAGGAGAAGACGAGAGAGGAGCGGAAGAAGAGGAGGAGGAGAGAAGGGCAGAAAAGAGAAAGGCGGTGGAGGAGAACGGGCCCGCCCCTCCCGGCGCCCTCCTCCGCTCCCAAATTCCGGCGAGCCC